AATATTTCTTTACAATGCACAAAGATTAAAGAAATAATACTTCCAAGATGCAATATTTATCAAATGAAGCTTATTTAGCAATAAGTTTCATTTTAATATAACTTAGGAAAGGAACCAATAACCAGGGTTGATGGGGCGGAGGGAGCGAAAGTATCCCTCTCCCTTTTAATATACTAGCAAATGATGGAAACAAAAATCAATACTTATGTTTAGATGGCAACCTATTCTTCAATATTTTAAAAATTTTTTATAGTTATAAATAACAGGGTTGGTTTGAGTTTTACAAGGCCATCACTAGGAAATTCAATGTGACTAGACACAAAGTGGACCTGGAGGCTACTTTTCTTCCTACGTCTTATTAATAATGGTAGGTTCTATGACCCCCCACTTTATGGGGAAGTATATGGCTAATCCTCTAGGCATTCCATTTAAAAGTTTATCTCCCAAAATGTTTTTAACAGTTTGTTTTCCTGATACATGCAGTTAGATGTGTAGCAACCAAGAGAAACAATGCATAACATTTTCCATTGTTGAACATGCATACAGAGGTTACATTCCCCAATGTGAATTTTTCCAACTTACACATGTGGGATGACATCACAGAAACCACAAAAGCAACAAATTAAACTATATGAGAATAAACACTCCTGACTAGTCTCGGAGGGGACATTTTTATGCCTTCTTAACTTCATGAGGAATTCTCAGGCTGAAAGCATAGGCCATTGTTCTCGCACAAATCAATACAACACATCAGTGCATCCCCTAAAAGAAAAACTGCTAAAACTCTGAGCTGTGTCAAAATAGTCTTAGGAGCCTGTGATCTCCCATGGTGCTAAAAAGGGCCTGGTGCTGGGCTGACTGGAATGCCTGAGCATCGCCCACCACCTCTCAATCGCTGTTTACTAGGCACTCTGAGCCAATGAGACCCTGATGATTCAAAGGGCATGATGCTGGGCTGGATCTTTCTAATGAACCCTGAGCTCGGGCAGTCTTTCCTCATGCAGTTGCTGTGTAGGGCTCCCCTAGGAGTCCTGGTTGCATAAAGCCCAGGACAGACTTGGTCTGGAGATCCTTCCTCACTGCTCTCAAAACAGCCCCAGCCATACATAGGTGACCCAGATTAAAGTTATACCAACCCTCCCAGAAGTCTCCCCACACCCATGCTCACCCAGAGATGTGACTCTCAGGCTGGAAGTTTCACACACTGTGACTGGCTGCTGGGGGGACATTGCGGGTACCATCTTTTTACTTCCCCACCCATGCTACCAGCTAGTCGTGGGCTGCCATGGTTAATCCCCATGGCTTGTCAGCTGGCCTTCAACTCACCTGGACATGGGAAGCCAAACAGGCCTTTCCCTATCACCCAGACACAAGCCCCTTTCCCAGGCCAAACGCTGCTGATGTCTCTCCAGTCTCCAACAGTCCTGTCCCGACTTTCGTCGCTCTTTTGGGTCTGCCAAAGTGATGCCTGCTGCCATGTGTGGCTGCCCCTCAAGGCCCACCCAGGGGATACCCCAAGCCCAATCTTCTCCAGGGCTGCAGCACAGAGCAGTCCCAGCAGCAGCCCTCCCACAGGCACATCCATCCACAGTGGCCTTTGGCCTAATGCCTTGTTCTGATTAGAAGAGTGAGTTGGCCATAGAAAATCAGCTTATGATTGCAAAATTCTGACTCACTCTAAAGTTTCTATTGACAATTATTGCTTTAAACCTACTTGAAAACTGATAGTGAAACAAGTAACACTAAGATTTGTGAGCCCCATGCTGAGAATCACTTCTTGTAGTGAGGATGCTTCTAGAAGCTGTTTACCTACATGTGAAGGTACCATTTAGTGATAGCCAGAAGATTACACACACACACACACACACACATTCTCAATCGAAAGTGATTCGGCCCTTCCAGGTTGAATACCCTGAAACCCACCCTGATTCTCCACATTGCCTTCAGAAAGCATGTTCTATGTTCCCTGTGAACCTCCTGTAAAGTAACTTGTTAGTCCTCAACTTGGCACATTTTAAATCCAGACAAAAGAATAAGTACCATGTAGTCACTTTAATTTTATAAAAAAGTTGCATGACATTTTATGTTGATGGCCTATAAGCACATACCTTAGTAGGGTAGTGATGGGAAAAACAAACTAGAAATACAAAAAAATCCTCTAAGACTCCAAGGCAGGGCAAGCAGTGGCAGAGCTAATGGTTCTCTTGTCCCTTCTACCAGGTCAAACTGGTAGGCTGGAGGAAAGGCCCATTGTTTGAATATGTGTGGCAACTGTTAATATAACTCTTTGAAACTTGGCTACAAGCTATTTAGCACAGTACAGATTAAAGTTACAGCTACATAAACCAGCACAGTAATGTCATAGCGCTTCATCTGTTTCTAATGTCTAGGTTTGCTCATTTTTTCACATACCTTATGTTACACTCTGTTACTTTTGTGCACATTTCTCATATTGGGGTTCTTCAGGTAAACACAACCTATTGCAGTAGAAAAAGTCATTGTTAAGAATATTATATGCAATAAATGATATACAGATAAATATGAAGATGTGTCTCATTCATTACTGAAAATGTTACGAAAATGGGGGAAAACCCTTGTATAGAAAAACGTGTCCATACACTCATTCATTTGTGGATGCATACAGAAGTTTGGGAGTGGTTAGCTGGCAGGGAGGGGTGCAAGGAGTGCATGCTGCCAATCCTCACCCACTAGTCAGACAAGGAGAAGGGGGTTAAGTATCACACACACCATGGGGGTGGGGGGGCTGATGCTTTTTTTTTTAACAATGTGAATGCATAACCTATGAGAATAAAATCTTTAAAACTTACTTTATCTACATAAGAGATGAATTCAAAAAGTAAGCAGTGGTAGACATCAGATTTGTCTGGGATAAAAATCTAAGTGTAATGGATATCTATTTACAAGCTTTAAAAAATAGCATTTAACTTCATAAAGAAAGAAACTGCAGAAAATACAAAGAGAAATATATACATAATGGTAACAAGAATAAAGGGGTCTTTATTCTCACCAGTCTCCACCCATGACAAAGCAAGTAGGCAAAAAAATAAGTACACAGAAGACTTCAAACACTGTTAATAAGGATACTCCAAACACACAGAATATGCCTTCTTTCTAAGTGCCTCTGGGGAAAATAATAAATTCTCCAAAAAACAAACTGTGTGCCCTACAAATGTAATGATTCTTTAATCAATGATGAATTACAGATATCTAGAAAATAGCAAATGAAAACACTTGTAAAAGCATATGCTATGGCAGTGTTTCCCAAACTCCTCGACTTCTAAGAACTTACTTGTGATGCTTGTTAAAATCCATTGCTCATGCCCTTTCCATGGAGATTCCAATATAAGCCTGAGATAGGCCAAGAACTATGTATTTATTAGCAAGTACCCGTAATTGAACCTCTTTCATCTGGAAAGTCTAGAAGACTTCCTATGGTACTACAACTAAAGCAGTGCTGAGGGGAAAATTCATAGCCCTAAATACATATATTAATAAACAAAAAAGACAAAAATGAGTGAAATTAATATCTAACATAAAAAAAGTTATAAAAGGAACAAAACAAACCTATGGAAAAGTAGAAGAAATAAATTTGTAGAAATAAAAAGTATAAGTTAATTAATTTTTAAAAATTAGAATAAAACCACGAGTTGCTCTTTGAGAAAATGAAAGCAAGATATAAACGACCTTCTAATCTCATTAAACAGAAAAGAGAGAGAGAGCAATTATAATAAGACATGAGCACGTAGACCCCAGCAGTCCACCCCAACCCAGTGAATGTCAGGATGGCTCAACATCAACTCAGGAGAGCGGCAACACTGCCAAGCTTGATATCAATAGGAAGGGACATACTCTTCTTCTGCAGAGAAGCCTAGTGAATACGATCTACACCAGACTGAGATAGGAAGTTAACGTGAATGTCAATGGTGACCACAAAAAAGGGGACGGGAGCTTGGAAGTTGTGAATATGTTCAGATTTTGAGAGAGATTTTAAAAATCTAATCTAGCAAATCTAAAAGGATATGCATTTGGACAAAAGGTAAAACATTATTGAAATATCTAAGGACAGGACTATATATGGCTCACAAATCCAATTCCAAGGTGAATATTCTATGAACTGTAAGGAATAAAGCTGAAGATTGCCAACATCAAAATGGATTGTGTGTTTTTCTCTATGCCCTTCCACAAAAGCTTTGGAGTTTTAATTTCCTTTTAATTGGCCTTTCCTACAGAGAACATTAAACTCCTGTGCTGATTTTCTCATGGGGCTGAGTTAACCAGCTTGTCCCTGGAGACACAAAATGCATGTGGTCTGCTAGCTAATTTCTTTGTTAATTTTTAAGTGTGTTTGCTGAGTTAAAGCTCTACCACAATTGTGTCTTTAAGCTCCCAACCAGCAGACTTGGTTGCGGTTAATTCCTACTTGTCTACAAATGGCATGATCAGCATAAAAACCTTTCTGCTCTGAAGACTAAATGTAATATACTTCTCTTTGGCAAAGTCATGAACACACCAGACAGCTGGGTCTTTCATTGTCAGGGTATGAGCACACGCAAACACATTCACAGACAGGTCTCAAAAGACTGACGCTCAACCAGACACCTCTCATAGAACAGAATCCGAGTCTTGAAATATGTATTCTGCTCTTTGATGTGAGGCCAACAGCAGAGGAGAAAACTCCTGGGTTTTTAGGAGGAACACCACTCCAGGAGGCAACGGCAGCCTGACAACAGGGCCTGGAAGGCCTTAGGTTGAGAGGGGAGGATGTAATTGAAAACACATGAGGGAAAGAATTCCAACAAGGACCTGGAGTGGCTCGGAGGACAGCTAGGAGGGCAGGAGCCAGGAGTGGGAGACCCCTGTATGTTTGTGTAGCTCCAGTGCATAAATATTTTATTTCATGTCTAACTCCAAAAGGCACAAGTGCAAGAAAACCTCCCCGTTCCACAGACACCCAGTGATGGTGCCACATACACACGTGCTTGAGTAAAAAGATGTATTTCAAAGTGTGAACAGTTGCATGTTACAAAAAAGTCACTGAACCTTCAACTAAATAAATAAATGTATAGTCCTCAAAGATGCAGAATCTCATATGTCTAGCTCAACAGTCATCTCTTCTTTGTTTTGCTTAAATTTCACAGGCAAGCAGTGCTCTGATCAGCAGACAGAAGACTTCTTTGGCATTTGCTTTTTTTTCCTGTCTTCTAACAAGGAGATTACATTCTAGATAAACAAAACAAACAGGTGAATGTAATCCAAGGTTTTGGTTGTTTGTCTGATTCTAAAAGTACTACAAAATTAGCCTTGAAAGAAAGAACATGCCAACCTGTCTGTCAAAAACTCTGGCCATTTCTAGGACACCTTTGCCGAACTAAAAGGGAAAACGACAAAAATTATATTTTATTTATATGATATATGTTTTTTCTTCTCCAAGGAAAATCTTTAGAGTTATTTACCTCATTTTTTACACTTGCATCTGCCCCTTTGTCAAGAAGTAACTGGACTAGCTCTTCGTGATTATTTAACACGGCCACCTAAAAAACAAAAAGCAGTCAGTGTGAATGAGCTCTGCCCACCCGCAGCGAGCTGTGCCAGCACACGAGGGCTCTAGGAACCCCGAGCAGTATGCACAGAAAGGCAGAGCTGGCCAGGGCCACCATGGCTTTGCATGCTGTTATGTGTATTGCTCGCTCTACAGCGGTGGCCACTGCAAGGAAAATGGAAACGGAATTTCCCTCTCTCCACATGAAAATGACAAGAGAAATGCTAGGCCAGACCAATACAGAAAGCAGAATGTTCTCTGTTTTAACAGGTCTGTTGACCCTACAATGGCCCTGGGGACTAGGGATGATAATCCTTTAAGAAACAGTTGTAAAAAGACAGAAATACTATAGTGACATTCTTATGCCTTTCTTAACAGGCCGGTAGGGAATACATATGCAACCAAAACCCAGGGCTCATACGTGGCTGACCTCACAAAAAGTGTCTGTCTGTAGAAAGAACTCTGACATTAATTCCACACATAAAGACAGGCTGTTTTCAGGAGAAGGGCGTACCATAAGAGGGGTCTTTCCGTCCTTGTCCTTCGCGTTCACGTTGGCCCCAGCCTCAATCAGAAGGGAGGCTACGCTCTGGTTTCCTGACACTGCGGAGACTCTCATCAGCGGGGTCCATCCTGAACCAGCGTCCACGACATCTATCTGTTGTGCCAGAGAAAGAGCTGCGCTTACTGCACTTTCTTTTCCTTAAAATGATTTAAACTCATAAAAGGAATATTTACTTGCCCAAACTCCCCTGACTTAGATAGCAGTCTTTCTAGACTTGGCAGGAGCTGATTGGACTGGGCTCATTTAATTCATGTTTGTATGCAGTGAGAAGATGTGTTGGAATCACATGAGAGGTGTGGAGAGGCCCCAGGGACTCCCCCGCTGGCACTGTCCTGTGTATTCTTTAAGCTAGAAAAATGAACTGAACTTAATCGCCTTACTCCTGGCCCCATGTGAACTCCCTGCATTATTTCCTCTGGCCTAATTTTCCTCACTTCTTTTGTCAAATCGCATTTATCTTGCTTGCTTTATACATCTTTGTAAGCAGCTTTAAATCCCTTTGGAACAAGGCAGTAATGACATATACACATGCTCTTACACTTATCAGTACTTATCAACATTAGGCAGGAGACCAACAGGTAAAGTGAACACAAAGCAACTAGACCCATTACACAAACTCCGACCTGAAAAGTTAGCTCATCTAATGCCTTCTCGAAAACATAGTGTGCCCAGTGATAAGACAGCCATTTCCCAATAATCTGCTCTACATTAAAATCTCTCAATTTAGAAAGAGGAACCCTCCTACACTGTTGGTGGGACTACAAATTAGTGCAGCCATTATGGAGAACAGTATGGAAGTTCCTCAGACAACTATGGATAGAACTGCCATATGATCCAGCAATCCCACTGCTGGGCGTATACCCAAAGGAATGGAAATCATCATGTCACAGGGACACCTGCACTCCCATGTTTACTGCAGCTCTATTTACAACAGCCAAGAGTTGGTATCAACCTAAATGTCCATCAACAGATGATTGGATAAGGAAAATGTGGTAGATCTACACAATGGAATACTACTCAACCATAAAAAAGAATGAAATTCTGCCATTAACAGCAACATGGATGGACTTAGAGAAAATTATGTTAAGTGAAATAAGCCAGGCACAGAAATAGGAATACAGCATGTCCTCTTTTAAATGGGAGCTAAAAGAAAAAGGAAAGGGAAAAAAGAAAGGAAGAGAAAGAAAGAATCAAAATAATACATTGTACTTTCAAAAAGAGAACAAAACTACAGTTATTAGAAGTGGAAAAGGGGGAAGGGGTTAGCAAGGAATTAGTTAAGGGTCACAAAGATTGATTAAGTTTTGTAAACATTAGTATACTAATTATCATGATTTGATCACCACATATTGTACACATGTACTGATATGCAAATTCTCTACCCCACAAATATATATAATCATTATGTTTCAATAAAAAATAAAAAATAAATAAATTTAGTGTTTTAAAAGAAATGTTTTAGAATAAGCAAACATAAATGTTGCCTCTTCAGGGGCTGGCCTGGGCTCACTTGGGAGAGTGTGGTGCTGACAACACCAAGTCAAGGGTTAAGATCCCCTTACCAGTCATCTTTAAAAAAAAAAAACATTGCCTCTTCAGTTTCAATGAAAACTTCACCAATCCTTGAAGAGTGGTACTAAAGATGTGTGTGTGTGTGTGCTCACAGGGACACACGCGTGCACACATGCACACACACACACACACACACACACATAAGAATTACTCAAAGATGATCCACATCAGAATGGAATAACAAACAAGGAACTGCCAGAAGACCCTTAGGACGTTTCAGGTTATTTCTATGTATGAGATTATCCACTGCCACATTGTAGGATTTGCATCTCCTTCCTCAGGCAAATAAATAACCTATGGGCAACAAGCTTCATCCAACTTAAATAATACTAAAATGATCACCTTGTATGACATGACGCTTTATGCACTTTTCAACACACTCTCACATTTTCTCTCTCAGTCTTGAGGGTTAAGCCGGGGTACGTATTTTTATTCCTGGTTTACAAATGATCAAACCAAATCTGAGAAGTCAAGTGCTTTACCTGAGGTCACATGGCTCTTTAAATGCAGAAATGTGCCCCATTCAAGTAACTAAGTCACCCTCAGTATAAAATCATTACATGTTGGAAGAGTGGTGATGCCCTGCTGGGCTCTCAAACCCTTCCACGGTCTATGGAAGCATCCGGGGAGCCACGTGCAAGAACACAGACTCATGTTAACATCATGTATCTGCCATGAAGCCAGCCACACAGAAATCTTTGGTGGACACATCCACACATATTGCTCTGTCCTCTGCAAAATGGTTCAGTGCTACAGAGAAAGAGAAATTTATCCCAAATAAGTGTTTTTGGCTCTGAAGCTCAGAGAGCCTACATTTCCAAAATTTCATTATTCCTAGCAGAGACCCGTTCTATTCTGGATCCTTTTCTTCTTTCAGCAAAAGTCAACCTTCACTTTCAACTGCAGACTTTTACCGGATCCAAAACATGAGCAGAGCTCACCATACACCCAACAAGGGGGATGTGGCTGTCACTACCAGACAAGGCAGGTTTGGCCTGACACTACCCCGGAAGCCCACAGGCTAAGCCTTCTGACCTCTTGTGCATGTCTCTAAACATAAAGAAAACAAGAAATGTAATAAAAAGGAATTATCTTAGTGACAGATTTTTCCTTCAAGGGGACACTTTTCTCAGCTCTCCAAAAGCAGCAGCAGAAACCAGTCAGATCACACAACCTCACCCTTTCTTTCTCCCTCAATCACACTTACAGACGAACTAGAATAAACCCTCTAACAGCTTCCGAGAGACCTGACTTTTCTCAATTTAAGTTGATTTTCCAGGTCATCAATTTAATTTCTCAGTACTTTACACCAGCTGGCAATCACAGCACTGTATTTTGTCCATCATTCTTTATTTCCATGCCTCAAAATTTTTAGCAAATTCCTTTCAAGTCTTGAACTGAAGTTTTCAAAGTCATCAGCAGTTACCATAATTGACCTAATTGTAATTACCCATCTTCAAGCATCCATAGAAGTCCAAATAATTCTACTTCTGCTTGCTAAAAAACAAATCAACTTGCCTGCTTCCAGGTAAAGACCCTGAGAGCTGAAATGCTCTATTCTTGATATAGTCAGTTTGCTCTTTGGAAATTTTTTTATGATAACTAATCTTTAAAACAAAGCAAGAATAAAAATAATCTAATTTTAAAAGCAACAAGAAGCACTGTGGCCGTAAGAGCACTTAACATCTTTGTGTCCCCAGCACTTAAGATGATATCAGGTACATAGTAGATGCTCAATAAAGCTTTGGTGGCAGACTGAAGAGATAAATAAGCAAGTAAACAGAGGAATAAAAAATAGAAGCATCGGGTCCAGCTCTGGATTTGGCCCCGTTTCTTTTTCCTACACCAGAAGAACCCCTGTGATAATCTGATCATTCCTTTTTCTAAGGCTTCAGGAGCTTTCTTGCTAAGTCAGAGAACTTTCTCCAGCACTTCTAAGTTCAACTAATCAAAGGCTCTGCTTCTCCTAGACCCTGTGGAAGAGCATTTCAGGATCTTAGCCCTGCAGGTGTGGTTAACAAGGAAGGTCTTGTACCTCACAGCCGTCCTTTATCATCCACTCAATCACATGGCAGTGGCCTCCATCTGCAGCCCAGTGCAAAGCTGTACAGCCTCCCAGGTCTCGAGCCTCCCAAGAAGCACCGTGTCTTCGGAGAAACTTCACCACGTCTAGGTGACCCGCATAGCATGCAAGCATTAGACTGCAACATACAGAAGCAGCAGCGTTTAGCTATGAGTGCAGCTGCCCAGCTCAGGTCCACGTTTTACCCTCCCTGGTTTAAACCAAAAAATCAAAACTAGAGTAGAAAGCCATGTAAATTACTCATATAAAATATACATGTCCATCAACTGATGAATAAAAATGTGGTGTATATCCATGCAATGGAATATTATTCAGCCGTAAAAAGGAAATGTGCTACGACATGAATGAACTTAAACATTATGCTAAAGATGCCAGACAAAAGACCGCACATTGTATGATTCCATTTACATGAAATGTCTAGAATAGGCAAATCTATAGAATAGAACCAGCAGGACAATGGTTGCCTGGGGTCAACGGGAAGGGAAAATGGGCAGGGACTGCCAGTGAGTGTGGGGCTTCTTTCTAGGGTGGTGAAAATGTTCTGGAATTAGAGAGCAGTAGTGGTTGTACAACTTTGTGAATATATTTTTAAATGCTGAGTTGTATATTTTAAGGGAGTGAATTTTATGGTTTGTGAATGATATCTCAATTAAAAAATGAATAGTTAAAGCAATTGAGTATAAAATATTGGATCTTACAACATCCACAAGTCCATGATGACATTCAAAAGAAAAAAAGACACTCATTTGACACTATTAGAAATAACTATTAAACCAATATTTATATTTAAGGAAAAAATTAAACATGTACTTTGCCTTTGTAGGATAAAACATAGTCCATCCCCAGCTGATGAAGGGAAGCTCTTTTTATTTATTTTTTAACAAAAGACTGCCAGCTAATAAATATGGAAGGAATCATGGAATTAGAAAATTCCTTTGTTGCATCTCCCAATTAAATAAATGATTCAGGCAAGGATCATCAGTGGATGCTAAAATTATTCAGAAAAAAGGTTAATGAGGAATAGAATATTCACTGATGTTGAATTACTACCCCCATAGATTATTTCCTAAGTATAATGAGAAAACTATCTTTACAAAGGAAGAGATTTAGTCATCACCCTTACAAATGATCAAACCTGGAATCACCACCCGTGGAACAACCTGCATCACCGGCCACCTGATGAGTGTAACGGAGTCACAACAACAGCTCTGAAGTGTTCCTGCTGAAAATGTTCACCTGAGTCTAATCGAGCCTTTAAACCTACCAACTTTATTGAAAACAGAGTAATAAATGAACACGTTATATGTCTTCCCACAACTGGGAGACAATTAGAAAAATCCAGAACATAAAGCATTCTAGAGATAGTTGGTCTGGTCTCCTCAAAAAATCATTGCTATGAGGACAAAAGAGGACCAGTCTAGAATAAGAGAGACTGAAGAGACAGAACAACCAGATGTGTGTATGAGGCTTGATCGGATCATGTTCTCCCCCTCCCCACACCCCTCAAGTAAAACTGTGGAAGACCCTTTGCAGGTAAGTGTGGAAACCTGCCCCGGTGGTTGGGTACCAGTGATGCTAGGGAACCAGTGTGCATGTCTTAGATATGATGATAAGGTGGTTATGCAAGTTAATGTCCTTGTTTTAAGAAGATACGTACTGAAATTGAGGGGTGAAGTGTCATGATGCTTGCTACTTACTTTCAGCCAAAAAAAATGGGGGCGGGGGGCAAATAATCTAGCCAGAGAAGCAAATATGGCCAAATGTCAACAGCTGCCAAGCCCAGGTGTTGACTATGCAGGTGTGTGTTGTACTATCCTTTCACCTTTTCAAAATGTTTAATATTTTTCAAAGTAAAGAGTTGGAAAATAAAACAGAGCTTTCCAATAGAGAAACGGTACAAAGTCTCTCTGAGCAATCACTAAAATGTCCAGCAAAGCCCGCACTGAGCTGAAACGCGACCTGACGTCCGCGTCCCCGGGCAGGCCTTCATTCCTTGGAGACTCCCGCACAAGAGCAAGCCTGGCGTGTCACCTGCTGGGGTCTGGGGAGCTCACACTCCTTCCCCAGCACTATAGGGTCTTCAGAATGACCTTTGCCAGGGGAAGAAAATTACATTTTTAATATTACATCCAAGTAGGACTCTAGTTATCTAGATGATGGTTTTAAATAATACCTCTCTTCTGCTTATAAAGTAAGGCATGCTACCTAGGAAAAAAATCCCACATCAGAGTCACTCATAACCTCACCTCTCAGAAAACAAACTTCTAAGATTCTGTAGAATCTGCTTTGAGAGACAAGGAGGATTGCCTAATAAACAAACCCAGGAGCTGTGGACTGCCCAGCAATAAGCTCACTGGAACCAGTGGCTCCTTCCCAGGGATGGGGCAACCCTGAACTTAACTTCCCACTGGCAGGAAACCACCAAAGTCCTCAAGTGCCACACAGCTGGAGCGTGCCATCACCCCTCTAAACAACTGTCATCTCTCAGTTTGTTCTCTCAGAGGTGAGGTCATGAGGGACTCTGATGTGGGATTTTTTCCTAGGTAGCATGCCTTACCTTATAAGCAGAAGAGGCATTATTTAAAACCATCATCTAGATAACTAGAGTCCTACTTGGATGTAATATTAAAAATGTAATTTTTTCCCCCTGGCAAAGGTCATTCTGAAGACCCTAGAGTGCTGGGGAAGGAGTGTGAGCTCCCCAGACCCCGGCAAGTGACACACCAGGCTTGCTCTTGTGCAGGAGTCTCCAAGGAATGAAGGCCTGCATGGGACATCACATGTTGTACACAACTACTGAAAGTCAACTCTGTACCCCACATATATGTATAGTAAATTATCTTTAAAAAAAATAAGCAACAAAAAAACAACTGTCACCTGAACTCAAACTGCCTGGCATCCAGGAGGTCTGTTCGTTCTCTGCTTTACAAAGCCACAGGCATGTTCGTGTCACAGAAGGGGAGGGCAGCGGGCATCGGGCTACAGCTTTTCTGGGAGCAAAACCCTGCTGGGCGCCCCGCTGGGCCCCAGGGTAAGCTGCCTGGAACTGAAGAGCTGCTACCTGCTCACCTGCTGCTCCTCGTCCTTGCTCAGAGTCACGCTCCCAACCATTTACACAATATCCCCAGTCCCTTCCCTCTCACTGTCAAGTCTGTGATTTTCTTCTCCCTCCCTTTTGTGACATATCTTTCATTTCCTTAATGTTATTTCATACACTTCCCTGTTTACCTAAACTCTAAAAAGTATTTACATACTAAATATTCCATCATATGCACATATCATAACTTAAATCAGTCCACTATTAGACATTTAAATTGTTTCAAATTTTTCACAATTTTAAATAAGGCTACAGCAAACACCCTTACTA